CTTAAGTGGAGAGCAAATGTTTTGAGAATGATGAGGGCAATGAATGTACAAATGTGCTTTACACAATTGATGTATGTATGGATTGTGATGAGTGTATGAACCCCAGGGAAACAATTACAAGAATCTAAGTATAGCCTCCTCCCTGGGAAATGGACAGCAGAGAAGAGGGCGGAGGGAGACGTCGGACAGGGTAACTTATGACAAATCTATAATAATTTATGAATTACGAAGGGTTCAGGAGGAAGGGGGAGGGGGAGGGAGGGGGAAAACGAGCAAACGATATTGAGGGCTAAAGTAGAGGGCAAATGTTTTAAGATTGATGAGGGCAACAGGTGTACACAGGGGCTTGACTCAATGGATGTATATATGGACTGTGATAAGAAATATACAAGCCCTCAATAAAATAAGTTTTGAAAAAATAATAATGAGGGTAACAAATGTACAAAGGTACAAATGTGCTTTATACAATTGATGTATGTATGGATTGTGATGAGTTGTATGAGCCCCCAATTAAAAAATAAATAAATAAATAAATAAAAAGAATGATGAGAAGCTGATACCAAAGGCTCAAGTGGAAAGCAAATGTTTTGAGAATGATGAGGGCAACAAATGTACAAATGTGCTTGACACAATGGATGTATGTATGGCTTGTGATAAGAGTTGTATGAGACACCAATAAAATTATTTTAAAAAGAGTATATGAGCCCCTAATAAAATGATTTAAAAAAAAGGATGGTGGCAGCAATTGTACAATTTTTTTGTTTTGCAATTGTACAATTATGCTTGATTTAATTGAATTATGAATTGTTGTAATATCTGTAAGAGCTCCCAATAAAATAAAAATAATTAATTAAAAAAAAGTAATATCAATTAGAAAAAAATAAAAGGTGGAAGAAGATGAACTGTTTGGAAACAAAAATCTGAGGAGCACTATATAGCGGTTCTCAACCTGTGGGTTTTGACCCCTTTGGGGGGGGTCAAGCAACTGTCATGGGGGTGGCCCGATTCATAACAGTAGCAAAATGACAGGAAAAGCAACAAAAACAATTGTATGGTTGGGGTCATCACACATGAGGAACTGTATTAGAGGGTCGAGGCATTAGGAAAGTTGAGAACCACCAATCTAAGATTACCATTTTAGAAGTAAGTACTACCTAAAATAGAAAGTCAAAGGAAAAAGATGCCATGGATACTACAGTAGAGACTTTCAACAAGAAGTTGTCAAAATGTCTTAGAGAGAAAAGGAAATAAAAATGTCCCTGAAAACCTCAGCAAAGGCTATTTCAGTGAAGCAGCGGTTTGAAGAATGAATATGAGCGAAAGTGGAGGCAGCAAATGGAAAAGATCTTCACAAGAAACTTGAATGTGCAAAGAAAGGGAGAGAGGTGGCGATGGGCAGGTGAGAATGAAAATGTGAATTCTGAGAACAAGAAAACAGGAGACTGACAGAACACAAATGAATACAGGTTCTCCCAGCAGGTGAGCGGGTAAGGGAGGGGAGGCAGGGTTCACATCAGCTGAAAAAAAGGAAGCCAATGGGTAGAAGGACCCCTTCCTATAAATTTGTCAGTGTTGTTGAAGAGATTGCACACGGACTCAGAGCCTCTGAAGTAAGCTTTCCTTTCGTTTGCCAAACTGTTGGTTTTGATGATGAATTGTTGATCTAATAGCTTGATGCATTGACTTTGGAACCAGAATGCCTGACTTTGATATTCCCACCTGATATACTGCTCAATAGCGGGGGTGATCTTCATCAAATTACTTAATCTCTCTGTGCCTCATTTCCCTCATCTTTAAAAGGGGAGGCTGTCATACAAGTGCTATGGAAGTATGAACTATTTTCATTTTTCACTAGATTTTCATCTCCAAGACTATTTGACACCCTTCTGTCCATTCAAAGGCTGGCATGTGCAGTAGGTGCTGGACTAAAATGCTGTGAATAATGATTGACTACGTTGGGGTGAGGCTGGGAGGGAGAGGAAAAGTCCGCGGCAGATAGCCTCATGCCCGAGCCCCGCTGGGCCGCCCCGCAGCTCCCTTTGGGGCTACAGCACAGATGGAGCAGCAAGGTCGAAAGGTCGCTCTGCATCTCCTGGGCGTCGCTGTTACGCCTCCCCTAGAAGCTCCTCCCCCAGGAAGCTCCTCCCCCAGGAAACCCCTCCCCCGGGTAGTTCTGCATCTCCTGGGGTCCGCTGTTATGCCTCCCCTAGAAGCTCCTCCCCCAGGAAGCTCCTCCCCCAGGAAACCCCTCCCCCGCGAAGCTCCTCCCCCAGGATACCCCTCCCCCGGGTAACTGCATCTCCTGGGCGTCGCTGTTATGCCTCCCTTAGAAGCTCCTCCCCCGGGTAGCTCTGCATCTCCTGGGCGTCGCTTTATGCCTCCCCTAGAAGCTCCTCCCCCAGGAAACCCCTCCCCCTGGGACGCTCCGAAGCTCCTCCCCTGGCGGGCGGTGTCACGCTGGTGAAGATCCGGGCGGGGCGGGGCGGAATCGCTTCCCTGCTCTGGCTTCGGCTCACCTCATCGGCCAGGGACGGAAGTCTCCGCCTGCTCGGGACTTCCCGCGAAACCCCGCACCGAGAGCCGGGCCTCGGCCCACGGGGCACCGGATGCTGGTCGTGGCCCGGCGCAGGCAGCACCATGAAGCGCGCGGGGACTCTTCGCCTGCTCTCAGACCTTAGTGACTTCAGCGGCGCGGCTCGGCTTCGGGAGCTGCTGGCCGGAGACCCAACTGTCCGAGTCCGCTGCAGTCCGGACGGCCGCCACCTGCTGCTCCTGCGACCCCCAGGGGCACCAGCCCCGCAGTTGCTGGTCGCAGTGCATGGGCCTGGCTCGGAGCTGGAGCGTGCCTGGTCGGCTGACCAACCCCAGCCACTGGACGCCTTCTTCCTGCCGTGGCCAGCGAGGCCCTTGCTGGTCCTGGTCTGGGAGAGTGGCCTGACCGAGATGTGGGGTGTCGGGGTAGGGTCTGGCTGGCAGCTGCTGCAGAGCACTGAGCTGTGCCCGAATGGTGGAGCCCACGTGGTGGCCGTGGCAGCATCCCGAGGTCACCTGGTGTGGTGTGAAGAAGGTCAGGTGGGAGATGAGGGCCGGTTGGGGCCGCCTGAAGCCACTTTCAGCCACCGCGTGTGCGTCCGAAGCCTGGAGCCCAGCAGGGAGGTGGTCCCCACCCTGGGCCGCACACACATCCTACTGCACCACTGCCCTCCCTTTGCACTGCTGGCCTCCCGCAGGGACCTCTACCTGGTACCCACTGCCACCACCTGGCCTGGGGTGGCCCACATTCTGCTCATCTGGACCCCAAGCAAGGGCAGGGTGAGGGTGTCTGCCCCATCTCTTGGCTTGGCCCACAGTAAGAGCCTGAACCCTGGACGAGGAGATACATGGGACTTCCGGATCCTGCTCCGAAGCCTTCCTGGGCTGCTGTCTCCCAGGCAGCCATTGGCTGTACATACCTCGGCCCCAGTGTCCCAGGGCCTGCTGATGCTTGACTTCAGGGGCACTTTGGGCCTGGTTCATCCCCATGGCGGTACCCGGCCCATGGGGGTGCTGCACGAACCACCAATAGGCCCACCGGGGTCTGCAGCACTGGGGACATTTCAGGGCACCCTGGCCTGTGTGCTGGGCTCCACCTTGGAACTGTTGGACATGGGCAGCGGGCAGCTGCTGGAACGGAAAGTCCTAAGTACCGACCGAGTGCATCTGCTGGAGCCCCTGGTTCCTGGCCTGGAAGATAAGCAAGAGCCAGAGGTCAGGGGTGGTGTTCGTTTGCTTTCAGCTGTGGGTCTGTTTGGAGTGGGCTGGGAGGCCCCGCAGGGCCTTGAGCTGCCCTCGACTGAGGACCTGGTGTTTGAGGAGGCCTGTGGATACTATCAGCGGCGCAGCCTGCGAGGTGCCCAGCTCACCCCAGAGGAACTGAAACATAACAGCACCTTCCAGGCACCTCAGGCCCTGGCCTCCATCCTCCGGGGCCATCTGCCCCCATCCACGCTGTTGACCACCCTGAGGGCCGAACTTCGGGATTATCGGAGCTTGGAGCAACTCAAGGCCCAGCTGGTGGCCGGGGATGAGGAGGAGGCAGGCTGGACTGAGCTGGCAGAGCAGGAAGTGGCACGCCTGCTAAGGACCGAGTTGATGGGAGACCAGCTGGCCGAGCTGAACACCATTTTCCAAACCCTTCCTACAGCTGCCTGGGGTGCCACCCATAGGGCCCTGCAGCTCCAGCTCGACAGGGCTGGCAGGTTGAGGTCCCAAGCTCCCCCTGATGTGTGGAAGAAGGTCCTGCGGGGAACAGCGGCTGGAAAGGAGCCCCCGAATGGGGTCCTGCCCCCCTTTGAACTCCTGTGCCGGTGCCTCTGCAGGCTGGAGCCTCAATGGCTGCCATCCTTTGTGGAGTTGGCCCAGCAGCAGGGTGGGCCAAGCTGGAGCACCGGGGTCCCTGGGCTACCACTGTATCGCCGAGCCCTGGCAGTGCTTGCTGAGGAGGGGCCCAGGCCCGAAGCCCTGGAGCTGGAGCTGCTGCTGGGTAGTGGGCGCCCCAAGGCTGTGCTGCAGGCCGTAGGGCAGCTGATTCAGAAGGAGCAGTGGGAGCGGGCCCTGGAGGCTGGCCTAGCCCTGGGCCCCTCCAGCCCGCTGCTTCGAAGTGAGATCTTCAAGCTGCTGCTGGCCGAGTTTGCTCAACACCGCCGGCTGGACCCCCACTTTCCCCTCCTTCATCGCCTGTGCCCCCCAGACCTGGCCCCCACCGAGCTCCTGCTTCTCCTTCAGAAGCACCTGCCGGATGAGGAGGAGCCCCCGGCCCCATTCTCTGCGCCTGGGGCTGAGCCCACTCTTACTGTGGGCTTGCTCAGAGCCCTGCTGGAGCAGACGGGGGCTCAAGGACAGCCCTCGGGCCCCCCGGTTGTAAGCCTATTTGAGGATATTCTGTGGGACCCAGGCACTCCACCCCCCACACCGCCTCGGGGATCTGTGACCACCCTCCAGGCAGCTGAGACCCCGGCTGTGGAGACCTGGGTGCCATCCGTGCAGGGTTTCTGTGTGACTGATACAAACTGAAACCATTGCTAAGACCTAGCGATCAGGGACACTGCATAGGACTTGAAGGGGGCCCCGTGGGACCTGTGTGTGCAATATTATTCTCTCTTCTGGAACCATTTTAAATACATATACACCTGTTAAATAGATACCCAGTTCGTGTTTTTTGTAACATGGGGGTCTTCGAGGACTGTGGTTTGTAGAAGGGGTGGTTGGATCTGGTTGTCGGCGAAAGTGGCCACTTCCAATAACGATGATAGCTTTGAGCATTTACTATGCACCAGGCCCTCAACTGATCTTTATATAATTCTCTACATAATGCATCTCATGACCCCATGGAAAAACTGCATATACTATCCTCGTTTTGTAAGTGAAGAAGTCTCTAAAAGAGGTCTAGGGAGATTTTTTTCTTTTAGAGCTCTAGAAAGACATTTCTTGTGACTTGCCTGAAGTCAGTCAACTAGGAAGCAGCCGCTCTAGGACTGGAACCCAGGATTCTGGCTTAACCACCTCACTGCACAGCCCAGGAGCCTCCTACCTTGCTTCTCTAGCATGTGAGGAGATGAGACCCTACACACCCGCACCCTCCCTTTCCCAGGACTCTCCTTGTCCCTGAATAGGGACTGTTAGGGTCCAGAGCCCGCATTTTCGCCTCCAGGATTCCTGGAGCAGCTCCTGAGTTCGGGGGAAGGTTTGTCAGGGACTGGAGAGCTGCCTGCAGAGCTCTCTGACTTAGGAACAAGCCACGGGGAACAGGGCTGCTCACCTTCCTAGAGACGACCTAAGCCACGAAATTAGAGCAGCTCCACACAGATGTCTCTGCTCGTCTGGTTTTATCCAACAGCCATCCTCTCAAGAGGCCTGGCACTGTGCCCACTTCTGCCCGGGGGCCCCTCAGCTGGTCCTAAGTTTTAAGTTTTGGTGATGCTGAGGGGCGTCATCTCAGGGTTCCAGCTGTCCCTCAGATTTGTTCAAGGCGTGCGGCCTGCTAAGCCTCATTGGCCAGATAGCACTGGCGACAGTTCTTTCTCTTTTGAAAGGGGGGGATGCTGCCCCTCAGACTTGTCCAAGGCTGGTTTTAGCTCCTCAGCCTCATGGAGGTCCTGTGGTCCTGAGGCCATCCATCTGGATAGCCAAGCCCTAAGACAGCTGCTCAGCCTCTCTGAAATTTAGGGATTTTGGCCTCCTCTAGGGCTTGAGATGACTCTGGGCTAGTCCTGGTCCTCAAGCCCAGCTGTCTTGCTAACTCCTAGACTCTAGACTACTAGCCTTTAAGGGGCTGACCTCTCAGAGGCTCAAGACTAGGAAGCAGTCCTTGAGCCTCCATCTTAGCTCCTTCCTGGCCCGGGAGGGGCCCCCACTCCCAGGTCTGGAGGCTGGGCCCATTCTGGCTTCTCGGTGCAAAGCCCAGGGTAGACAGGAGCAGGAATCTGTTTGGTGCTGCGCAATCATTGTTCGTTCTTCTCAGCCTGAGACTTGGCTTGGGCCTCATCTATACTCAGGAATTATTCAATGGGACCCAGAGTCATAAGCAGGTGAGGGGAGCCCAAATTATCTTTGGAGGCATAAGTAGTAAGAATGTTTCTCAGACTTGCTCTCTAGGAGGGCCTCCCAGTAGGGACTCCCCAGCCTGGCAGCTCTGAGCAGTGGGCTTAAGAGGGGGATTTTCTGTGGACGCTACAGATGGGATACTGATTACTTTTGCTCTACCATCTCAGGGCTATCCGCAGGTACCCTTTTGGGACTGAGTTTTAGTGGAATGTGTGAGAGGGCATCAGAGAGATAGGTCCAGGAATGGTCTGAATCAGAGATCTCTGAGTGAGTGGGTAGGAGCCCTAGGTCCCATGTCCAATTGTGTTCTAGGATCAGAAGTCCCTGGGCAGAAGGGCTCTTGAGTCACTGATCTCTGGACAGGGTGCTGGCACTTGGGAAATTAGGAGACCCAGTAGCTGAGGATGCTCAGGTCAAGAAGGAAGTTCAAAGTTGAAAGTTTTGAGCAGTTGATAAGGTTCCAGCCCTGAAGTTCACAGGCAGGAGAAGGAAGGAAGTTCCGGGCGTTCCTTCATAGGGGTGCCTCACCTGGGAATTCTCAAGCTCACATGACAGTATTCCCTGAGCTGAAAGAGAAAGAGAACACTAGACTGGAGGCACACCGTACAGTAGCCCAGGCAAAACCAGGATGCATACCGGGCAAGGAAGAGAAAAGGCAAAGTCGGGGGTCCCCTGTCAGGAGCCCTGCTGGCACAGTGGTTATGCATTAGACTGCTAACCTTGGGGTAAGCAGTTTGAAACTGCCCCACTGGTTGCTCCTCAGGAGAAAGACAGGGCTTTCTACTCCTGTAAAGAGTTAAGAGACTTGGAAACTCACAGGACTGGTTCTGCCTTGTCCTAGAAAGTCAGTCAGAATTGGCTCAATGAGTTGATCTCCCTTTTGCCCACCCGTCATCCCACCCATGCCAGTCCTAGCCCTCAATCTCCCTTCCTTGAACACACCACCTGCTGACTCAGCCAGACCACAGGACTACAGTGACCCCAGTCTCCAAACTGCACTAACCAAAGGAGAGAGCCCCATCCCTTCCTTCTCCATGCTGCCTTGGGAATTGGACCCGGCAGCCAGACCGTGTGTCCAGTGTCCAGTGGCCACTCCTCCTCTCCTCCCATATCCCTGTCCCTGGTGAAGGCTAGGCTTGTCGGTGGGTCTGCCAAATGGCTTCCTCCTTAGATCCCACCTTGCCTCGTGAGAGTATTCTAACAAGCAAGTCTGATCAAGTCCAGCACCTACTTCAGTGTTCAGTACTCCTATCCAAGAGGTGTGAGCACCCACAACAGATTTAGTTGTGCCTCCTTCTGTCCTCCTATAATTCTTTGTACATACCTCTAAAAAAAAAATCCTCACATTATACTGTCATTGTCTAATGATCTCTTTGTCTCCCTAACTAGGCCACATGTTGCTAGAGGCAGGGATCATAGCTGTTTATATTTTTGCCAGGCTTTCAGTAGATCTAGCAATTCTTATTGTGGATGCAGTAACTGACAGATGAGAATAGACCACAAGTCCGTCAGTTTGCATGTGTTGCTGTGATCCTGAAGGCTCTGTCACTGGTACTTCAAATACCAGCAGGGTCACCCTAGGGAACAAGTTTTAGCAATGTTTCCAAACTAAGAACAGACTACAAAGAAGGAAAAGGCTGTCTACTTCAGAGGAGCTAGCTATGGAAAACCCTATAGATAGCATCATCAAAACATTGTCAGTTACTGACACCTAACGACTAGACACAGAACATTGTCAGAGACAGTGCCAGAAGATGAGCTCTTCGGGTTGAAAGGCACTCAGAGTATGCCTGAGGAAGAGCTGCCTCCTCAAAGTAGAGTCGACCATGATGCCGAGGATGGAGTAAAACCTTCATCTGCGGATGGGGCAGACTCCAAATGAGAGAAACAGCTGCAAAAATCTACTAATCAGAACTTGGAATGTACAAAGTATGAACTTGGAATGTATGAATCAGAACTAGGAAAATTGGAAGTCTTTAAAAAGTGAAATGGAATGCATAAAGATCAATATTCTAGATATCAGTCAGCTGAAATGGACTGGCATTGGCCATTTTTAATCAGAAAATCATGATTTACTATGCCAGAAGTGGCACAACCAAGAGGAATGGTGTTGCATTCATCAAAAAGAACATTTTGAGATCTATCTCCAAGTACAATGCTGTCTGTGGTACAATAGGATAATGTTTACCTGCAGCAAAGAAATCCAACCAATACAACTATTATTCAAACTTAGACACCAACCACTAAAGCTGATGATAAAGAAACTGAAGAATTCTACTAATGTCTTCTGTAGGAAATTGATCAACTATGCAATCAAGATGCATCAACAGTTATTGGAGGTTGATGTGCCATAATTAGAAACAAAAAGAAGAAAAAAAGAAACAAACAAAAAGAAGTTGGAACAACAAGAACAGTAGTTGGAAAATACGAACTTGGGGATAGAAACAAAGCTGAAAATCAGGATAAAATTTTGCAAGTCCAACGACTTATAGCAAGTACCTTTGTCAACAACACAAAAATCCACTGGGACACATGGACTTCTCCAACTAGAACACACAGAAAACAAATTGTCTACATCTGTGGGAACAGAGGATTGGAGAAGCTCACTATCGGCAGCTAAAATAGTCCAGGGACCAACTGGTACAGACCAGCAATTGCTCATCTGTAAGTTTAAGTTTAAGTTGCAGAAAATGAAAGCAAGTCCATGAGAGCCAAAATACGACCATGAGGATGTCCCACATCTGAAGAACAGATTTGATGAGGAGACTTGGGTTGCGAGATGACATCAAGAACATCAGACAGGAGTGAGAAGAAACACTGCACGAAGAAAGCCAGAAGACAGAAAAGATCAAAATGGACGCCAGGAAGGACTCTCAAACTCGTTCTTGAGCATAGCGTAGCTAAATCAAATGGAAGAAATGATTCAATCAAAGAGCTGAACAGGACATGTCAAAGGGCAGCTTGAGAAGACAAAGTCAACTATTATAATGAAATGTGCAAAGCCCTAAAGTTAGAAAGCCAAAAAGAAACGTGCAAGCCTCAAGTTACAATATTGAGAGTTCTTTGGGGAAAGTACCAAATGATGCAGGAAGCATCAAAAGAAGGTGGAAAGCACATAGAGTCATTGTACCAAAAATAACTAGTCAATATTTCACCATTTCAGGAGGTAGCATATGAGCAAGAACCAATGATGCTGAAGAAAGAAATCCAAGCTGCACTGAAAACATTAGCCCAAAAGACAGCTCCAAAAATTGATGGAATACCAATTGAAATGTTTCAACATTTGAAAGCCCTTATTTGTCTCTACCAAGAAATTTGGAAGACAGTTGCATGGCCAACTGACTGGAAAAGATCCATATTTGTGTGTCCGTGCCAAAGAAAGGTGACCCAACAGAATGCTCAGATTATACAATAATGCCTGGATATCACATGCAAGTGGAATTTTGCTGAAGGTCATCCAACCATGCTGGCGGCTGTACATTGAAAAGGAGCTGCTAGAGGTGCCGGCTGGATTCAGAAGAGGACGTGAAACAAATGACATCATGGCTGACATCAGACAGATCTTCGCTGAAAGCAGAGAATCCTGAAACAAAGCT